TGGTTTTCGAAGCAAACACATGTTTTCTCGAAGCGTGACCTTGCTTCCGAGACATCAAAACTTTTCTCGAATCGCACACTTGGATTTGAACAACATGAAATCAAGGGGTGAGCACGGCTTGGAACTGTACCCAATCCAGGCCTAAGGTAGGTAGGCGAACTTCTGCCAATAGTAGGTTTTAGCCGGGCTTACCGAACACCGGCCTAACGTAAACCAAACCTTTGATTTGCTTCTTAAGCGGCGCGCTGTCCCTCTCTTTCTCCCTCTCTCGCTTTCGCAGTTCGAGATGGCGGGATGTCGGATGGAGGGCGCACCAGTTCGTTACCAAGTTTGCGGCGAACTATGAAGACGTATATTGGTATCCAACGCATGCCGAAAACACATGTGCCGTCGTGTGGCTGTGTATTGTTCGTCACCCCGCGGTATTTATTTGATCTGGTCAATTTGTTTTGGTGTTTGGCATGCTCCTTTATTGTTGCCCTGTCATGCTCTCTTGTGTTTCGCAATTTGTCTGTTTAAATCGAATGCGTATAAACAGATACCACATGAATCCCAACCTTCTTGCGCTGGGTATTCGTTTTGAATAGAACGGTGCGGTCTCCACCTCCTTCCTCCGCCCCCTCTTCCCGTCTTTCCTGCCTGTCACCGTGCTCTTTCTGTCGTGCCAGCTTGCCTCCGACCTGGCCATCCCTGGGGGGCTGCGGATTGCGAAAGTGTTGCCACATTCGAGGACTGCTGGGGTTCCAGCGGAGTGACGTGCCACGCAGACTCAGACTTGACGTTGCCATCTCTGTGGTGCTGCGGCCTGCGAAACTGTCGCCACTTTCGAGGGGTGCTGGGGGGTCCAGAGGAGCGACGTGCTACGCAGAGTCAAACTCGACTTCGCCATCCTTGTGGGGCTGCGATCTGCGGGACTGTCGCCACTTTCGAGGGTTGCTGGGGGGTCCAACGGACTGACGTGATACGCAAACTCAGACTCGACCTCGCCAACCCTGTGGGGCTGCGATCTGTGAAACCGCTGCCACTTTCGAGGGCCGCTGGGGGGTCCAGCGGAGCCACGTGCTACTCAGACGCAGATTCGAACTCACCATCCCTGTAGGGCTGCGATCTGCGAAGTTGCCGCCATTTTCGAAGGTTGCTGGGGGGTCCAACGGACTGACGTGCTACGCAGACTCAGACTCGACCTCGCCATCCCTGTGGGGCTACGATCTGCGAGACAGTCGCCATGTTCGAGAGTTGCTGGGGGGGGTCCAGCGGAGCGACGTGCTACGCAGACTCAAGTTAGACTTTGCCATCCCTGTGGTGCTGCGATGTGCGGAAGTGTCGCCACTTTCGAGGGGTGCTGGGGGGTCCATCGGACGGACGTGCTACGCAGACTCAGACTCGACCTCGCCATCCCTGTGGGGGTGCGATCTGCGAAACCGTCGCCGCGTTCGATGGTTGCTGGGGGGTCCAACGGACTGACGTGCTACGCAGAGTCAGTTTCAACCTCGCCACTCCAGTGGGGGTGCGGTTTGCTACTCTGACCTCGCGTTCGAACGTAGCTGGGGGGCCCAGCGGACTGACGTGCAACGCGGGCTGACATTCGACCTCGCCATCCCTGTGGGGCTACGATCTGCGAAACAGTCGCCATGTTCGAGGGCTGCCGGGGGGGGGGATCCAGCGGAGCGACGTGCTACGCAGACCCAGGTTGGATTTTGCCATCCCTGTGGCGCTGCGATATGCGAAACTCTCGCCACTTTCGAAAGCCATTGGGGTGTCCAACGGACTGACGTGCTACGCAGACTCAGACTCGACCTCGCCGTCCCAGTGGGGCTGCGATCTGCGAGACGGTCGCCATGTTCGAGGGCTGCTGGGGGGGGGGTCAGCGGAGCGACGTGCTACGCAGGCTCAAACTCGATGTTGCCATCCCTGTGGGGCTGCGACCTGCGAAACTGTCGCCACTTTCGAAAGGTGTTGGGGGGTCCAATCGACTGAGGTGCTACGCAGACTCAGATTCGACCTCGCCATCTCTGAAGGGGGTACGATGTGCTCAACTGTCCCCGCTTTCGATGGCTGCTGGGGGGGCCAGCGGGGTGACGTGCTACGAAGAGTCAGATTAGAACTCGCCATCCCTGTGGGGCTGTGAGCTGTGATCAGCGAAGCTGTCGCCACTTTCGAAGGCAGCTGGGGAGTCCAACGGAGCGCTGTCACGGGCCGCCCGCAACCGCGGCGGCGCGCCTTCGAGCGTTTAGCTCTTGCAGGGGAAAGTGCAGGAAGGAAAAAGGGAAGGTGGCGGGCGAGCTAGGCCTCGTTCGGTTCTTGTGCGCATTATACGCGGGTTTAATCGTTTTGTCGAGCGCCGCGCCGACATGGCGCAGGCAGCGCTGCATCTTCAGCGCACTACCGAGAAGAGCCACACTCTTCGGTCTCCTTCCGACACTTTCGTCGTTTTTTGCCCCGTGCCACCTTCCCTCTGCTGCTGCCGCGCTGACGGGTCGGCCATCCCACGCACCCTTTTCCTGCCTTTCGATCCCAACCCTCATTTTCTCCTCAAGCCTGGACCTTCGCTCCTCGTCCTTCTGTTGTTGTCCTGTGAATCTTGCCACGTGAACGCATCCCATGTAGCTTGCACAACATAGAACGGCGCCTGCGCTGTTATTGTCCGGGCAGGTTGGGGTCCCATTCCTCGTTTCACTTGATGCAAGCGGGCTGGGTGCGTCGCAGGGTAATTGTGATTTGAGCGATCCCCACCGAAACCTTCGGCGTCTGATTCCAATGCGTGGTAGCAACAACCCCACCCTGATGGCTGTGCGGACTTGAGCCAGAACGGTCTCGGGACGGAAGCCACATTGCTGAATCTAGGACTCAAATCCTGGAGCACGCTACGTGCCCAAGGCTTAGATTCAGCACGTCCAAAGAATGGAAACCATCCCTGCCAAAGCCTACCGAGGCTTGGGCTCGGTAGACTGCGCCTCTGCCGAGACGCATCTCAATTACTAGAACATTGCTCGCCACCGGGCTGTCTGAACGCGATCATTGAAGCCCCAGATCGTGGTTCTCAACGCCGGCCAGCCGGAGCGAGTGGGCGAAAGACGCAGGAGGATGGAGGGGGGAGGGATTGGGAGGAGGAACCGACCACACAACCACCACAGGAGGAACCGACCACACAACCACCACCACCTGGCATAGCGACTGTCCCGGCAGAATGACTGTCCCCAGAAGTTTCCGGGAGGCAGCTTGAGATCGGTTCTTCAGACCTGGGTGCTCTCGTCGTCGATCCACTTCCGATCCCTCGTCGACTAATTTGAACCTCCCACGAATCATCAGTTCGAAACTCATGTTGTCAAATCGTCCTTTGTCAAATCCTACTTTACGCGTCGCATTTTGTCAAATCGTCTTTTGTCAAGGAGTCAACAAAAATGCGTCCGTGAGGTATCCAGCGGACGTTACCTGACGCCTGTTTCAAGGCTTCACATCATATTGTCAGGTCGATGGCTGTAAGTCTTTGGCGCTGTCATCGTATCGTATTTGGATTTGGCGTCTACCATGTGGATCAGACCCTCGTGGGCTCCGACACGACAGCCTCGACGGAACACTGTGGTGAACGGGCCTGAACGACGGTGGTGGTCGCGTGTGGTCACGCTTCCAAATGCAACGCCCCGGTGCATGATCTGGAGGTGTTCAACCTCAACCACTGCGGACGAGAACGTCTGTGTCTCGCCTGCAAGCGTAGACGGAACTTTACGCCTGAGTTTCGAGCTGCGCCAGCCAAGGATGGACGCCAACACGCACTTGTTGTCTTCTATGCTGCGATCGCACGCAAGCACCATCCACGCGCCTTGAGCGGCGTCCTCCGGGAGCCCCCTAGAGTCGTTTGTTCCAGGACCGCGGACGCATCCAGCGTCTGAGAAGGATACGGGAGACAGGTGTTCCGGGTTCATATTCCACACGACGATCCCCCTACAGGCTGTGTCTCGGAGGTGCTTGACCAACTGATTGGCCAGGCTGACGTCCACGGTGATGGCCGCCATCAGACGGCTGGCAAGCATGCTAGCGGGCCCTGTTGCTTCTGGTCGAGCCTCCCGGCCGACCCCGTTGAATTTATACACGAGGGACCACAGCGACCGAAATTCCGAATCTTCGAGTGTTGTGTCTTTGTGTGCGAGGCCTCCCTTCGCCAGCGAGATGGATCGAACCTCTTCCAAGATGCAACTCCACATGTCGCTGGCGATTCGGTTGGCTGCACGGCGGTCCCTGCGCTTGCCGAAACGGAAACGCGACTCCCGGAGACCGCGCAGCCACTTCCTCGTTTTTTCAGATGAGCTGGCGGTTAAGAAGTCGTCGACATCTGTCATGACCATGTTGAACACCTCCCCTGACGTGCTGCACCTACACCACCGGCGCGGCTCGAGAAGGCTTCGTGTGAACCCGTTCTTTTCCAGAAAGCCGGCCACGGCACGACGCCGCGCCAATGGTGCATCAACGAGCCCGTGCACGTTGAATCTCACGCAAAACAAAGACCCCTTCGGCACATCGATCCCGTCACTCGGCTCTACGAGGATCTTCCTTTGTGCTCGAAGCATACTGTATGATTGCATGAAGGCGTTCTTGATATTCGCGATGTCCGCACGCATCCCTAGTTTCATTATAACTTGGACGCAGAGCATGATGCTCATGATTTCTAAAGATTTCTGGAGGGCTTGCTCTGGAAATAGAGGAACATACAGGTGGCTAACATGCGCGTGTGCAGCGCCGGCGCTTGGGCTCGAGCTGACAAATGCGTGCTCCTCCCCCCCACAGCAACAGCAGCAGCATCGGGGCAGCGGGGCAATGCGGGTTTCAGCATGCACGACGGAGTTCGGAGCTGAGACGAGCCCCGACGACAGGGCGATCGACGAGGGCGAGGCTCAGCCATAACGAGGTTGGTAGCGGAGCCTGCGGTTGGCCCCACAGCTCCAAGGATGAAGAGAGAGAGAGAGAGAAAGAGAGAGAGACTAGCCATCCCACGGACGACGGCCATGGCAGACTACAACAGCGCAGTGGACCCGGAGATACCGGTGCTGAAGGGAGAGATGCTGAAGGACTTCACCCGCTACAAGAGAGCAGTTCAAGCAGCGGAGCTGAGCTGTGATAGTAAAGAAGCGAAGCAGGCGCTCGGTCCGAAACTGCGCCGCAACCTGCTGGGCGCGGACAACTCCATCCGCGTGCTGACCGAACAGACGAATCCGAAGGACTACGCGACGGAGGATGGCGCCCAGACGCTGCTGAGATTCCTCGAGGAGCAGCGCTTCGCCGAGAGCAGCTTTAGGGAGTTGCCGAAGGCTTTCGGCGAATTCTTCGACCAGACTCACTTCGAAGAGAAGTGCGAGGAGCCGATGGCAACGTGTTGCACGGCAATGGGAGTGGCGAAGCGCACTCTCGAGGAAGTGGACCAGACGCGAAGGTAAGCGCCAACGAGCTAGGGCACCACACGCTGAAGGAGCGGACTCGACAAGGATGAGCGCAACCTAGTGATAGCACGAGCGGACGAGACCTTCAATTTCCAGACGATTAGCACGACGCTGAAGAACCTCTTCCCACGAGGCGGAGGTCGCCACCGGGATCGACACGGATCGCGCACGAGCTGGCGATGGGCGAACTACAACGACGGCGAGCGCGACCCTGAGGACGCGGACCCGAACGTCGAGCACGACGGGTACTGGGTCCAGGACGACGACGGGTACTGGTACGCATGGGACGTAAAGTACGGCGTCTACGCGTTCGCGGAGAACGGCGACGCCGGCTGGGACAGCAGCGGCCTGTTCCACATCGACACCGACGTCTACCTCGCGGGCGAGGGCGACGAGCACCGGCAGGCCCTCGTCACGCCGCGCGAGAGCAGGCTCAAGATGAACAAGATCAGGGCGGCTCAAGGCCTTTCAAGGGGCGAATCGACGGAGTAGTGGGCGAGAGCGCGGCGGCCGGCGGCAAGGCAGCTGGGAAAGGTGGCAATGGCGGCAAGGGCAAGGGCGGCAGCAACGGCAAGTCCAAGGACGCGAGGTGAACCAACTGCGGCAGGATGGACCGCGCTACACCGGACTGCCCGACGCCGCGACCTCCGAGGCCGGCAAGCAAAGGCTTCAAGGGCCGCGGCAAGACCTCTAAGGCTCAGTCTCGTCCACGACGGCTGGGTCTCTGGGCGATGACCTCGCCTGCGTGCGTCATGCAGGACACGTTCCACCAGAAGGGCGCCCAGGACCAGGAGCTCGCGACGGAGAAGTTCCAGGAGCCAGCCGAGTACGACATCATGATGGTCAGCGCGGAGAGCGACCCGATCCTACGGACGTGCCAGAAGTTGACGCGATGATCTCGAGTGCGATCGCACCATCTACCCGGGTGGGCAGCGGCGCCTCCGCGGCGGTGGCAGGGCGCGGCCGGCTGGGGAAGATCGCGGCGGAGCTCGAGAAGTACGGCCCGAGGCCCATCATCGCCGAGGCGAGCCAGAAGTTCAAGGGACTTGGCGGGGCGCGACGCGAAGCGAAGCAAAAATGGATCATCCCGATCGGCATTGGAAAGAAGCATGTCCTGCAATAATACTTCGAAACTCCCGGCGAACCGGAAGACGAACCTCTACCTGCGCGAGGACGGCCAGCGGGCCGACTTCCAGGAGCTCGGGGTGCACGGCAAGGAGCTCGTGGAGCTTCAAGGCGGCCACGCGGGCATCGACATCTTCGACTACGACCTGGAGTCGCGCGAGGCGGAGCCCCTTTTCGACGAGTTCCGCATCGCCGTCGAGAACGTCGAGCCGGAGGCTTTCCTGGTCGCGGAGACACTGCAGGAGTCCAAGCAAGATCTCAAGGTCAAGGACGACGCCGATCGGCGGGTCCAGGAGGCCATGAAGAACGGTACCAAGGGGATCTTCAAGAAGGGCACGCTCAAGCGGATCGACAAGCTCATGAAAGAGTATGCGGTCATGTTCGACGTGCTGCGCGACAACAACGAGACGTTTCTCTGGAAGTTGTTCGCGAAGGAGGGCATGGGCGACCGAGTGGGCGACCTTATCCAGGAGCTTCGGCCGCTGATTGACTCCTCAGCGGAGGTGCCCAAGCTTCAGCCTGAAGGAGGACGAATTGGATCGGCGAGAATCCCCTCACCAGCCGGGCGTGGCGGGAGGTCCCGATCGTGGACCTGCTGAGCAGGCGCGGGAACATGCCGCCACTCTACGAGACGGTCACGCTGCGCCAGTGCATGCACGGGTTCGTGGACAACTACGGCGACCCGATTCGCAAGCCGACGTGCGTGATGGCGCCCGAAGGTTCGAGCTTCCCGGGGTGGCTCGAGCGCAGGTGCGACGGGGGCCACAAGCGCGCCGACATGGTCGGGCGGAGCTCGGCACTGGCGCAAGCGGGCGCCTGGCCGGACGACCTGGGCAAGGCTCTGGCGGGCGCCGGCGCGCACGAGCTGGCACGACGTACCAGCCCGAAGGAGATTGGCATCGGGAGCGGCGCGGCGAGGTCCCCGAGCAAGCAGATCGTGAACGCAGTGGCGACGGCGTTCAAGCTGTGGAAAGACCTGACTGACGCGACCGCACTGACGGGCGACGAGGAGGTTCCGCACCCTCGCGGGAAAGTGCGGCGCATCTGCGCGATGTATTCCAACGAGGACGTATTGGCAGACTACAGTGACGCCTACGCGGGCGACCTGGGCTTCGCAACGATCAAACTGGCCAAGCGGTTCCCCACTGACACGGTGGTCGCGGCCTACGTGAAGGCGCCGAAGGTGCAGGCGCCCTTCCCTGCGTCGGTGCACATCTACGGGGGCCAGCCCAAGGCTTTCGCCCCAGGCGATCGCGAAGCGGACACCGCACATCGAGACCTACAACACGAGGGCGAGAGCTTCGGGGACAAGCCTTCGGACATCACCACGGCTCAGTGGGGCGCTCTCAAGAAGCTCCACCTCAACCTGAGCCACCCTTCGGCTCACGCACTGAAGCGGCGACTGAAGTCCTACGGAGCGTCACGGCAAGCGCTGGGTGCGGTAGGACAAGATGGACTGCGTCGCACGCAAGGAGCTTGGCAGGCCCACAACGGTGAGAAGCTCGAACCTGAAGCTCTCGACGGAATTCAACGAGAACGCGTTCCTGGACGAGGCCGAGGTGACACTTGCAGACGGGGCCCGACTGATGGTCATGGTGATCTTGGACGATGCGTCGGGCTCCCGGTTTATCATTCCTACCACTGCAGTGAGGTCCATCACTGGCGAGGAGAGCGCGCGATGCTTTTCGCAAGGCTGGCTATCGTGGGCTGGGCCGCCCAAGGTGCTGCACTACGACGCAGCCACGGGCCGCGTCGCGAAGCGGTTCGCGGAGACCGGAGAGAAGTGCACCATCCTGATGAGGCCGGTCCCGGCAGAGGCGCCCCAGCTCAAGGGTCGAGTGGAGCGCGCGATTGACTTCTTCAAGGATCACTCCCAGCGCTTGAGCCACGACGTGCAGCTCACCAAGAACGACGATCCGCATGCGTGGACATCGGTGATTGCGAGAACGTGCAACAACCAAATTCGGCGGAACGGCTTCACTCCCTACAAATATGTGCCGGGCCGGTCGCCTGGCATTCTGGCTTCGCTGATCGAGGCGATGGAGGGCGAACAGAGGCAGCTGGCATCGCAGAGCGCGGCTCTCTTCGAGGAGGGCCCGAGAAGAGCAGGGCAGATACGTGCAGCGGCGAACCGGGCGTTCTTTGAGCTGGACAGCGACGGCGCCGTCAGGAGGGCGATGGTTGGTCGAGTTCGCCCGCCGCGCGGGCCGTTCGCGCCGGGCCAGCTGGTGTTCTACTGGCGCGAGGTGAAGCACGCGAAGTCTAAAAGGTTGCAAGGCGAGCACGGCTGGCGTGGAACAGCGATCGCGTTGGCGACCGAAGGCCACACGAGGCTGCACCTCAGCTACCGCGACGCCGGAGCATGTGCGACACGCATCCCGGAGCGAGGCGGGAATGGTGGAGAACGAGGACCTGGTCAGGCAGCTCTCTCATTGGCGCGGAGGACCTGCTCTCCAGAAGGGGTTCATCGATGAGCGTGGACCTGGGCCAGGCGGGAGCGACAAGACGGGCGCGCGCCGCGAGAGGGGCGAGAAGGACTCGGATCACGAGGACGAGGATGAACCTGCACCCGGAGACCTACCCGAAGTGCCGCCCCTACCGGGAGGAGGACCAGCTCCTCCAGATCAAGCTACAGACCCACCTGCTGCGGCAGCTGGGCAGGGGCACTCCATGGGCCTGGATGCGGCGGCTGGGCCAGGTACCCCGCATCAGCGGCAACAGCAACCAGGTCGATCTGAGCAACCAGAACCTGCACCGCGACTCAGCTTCAAGCGAACAATTCCCGTCGACCAGGAGGCAGATCGCGAGCGCCTATGACTACGACGCGAGGCTCTCAAGGGCAGCCCCATGCGCCTCCCGAAGGTGTCAGACGACCCGATGGATCAGGAAGCACTCTTCGCCAAGGTCAGGAACCGCCGGAGGGGCGCGCTTCTGTCCAAGAAGACCGACACTACGACGAAGCAGGGCACTCCCAAGAAGGGTCGGAAGATCCGCAGCACCCCACAGGAGTGGAAGGCGGCTTTCGACGCGAGCGACCTGGAGGAGTGGCGCAAGTGGGTCGGGTGCGACGCAGTGGACCGGCCGACCGAGGAGAAGCTCGCGGGGGTGGACAAGACGGCGATCCTGCCCATGAGGCGTGTTCGCACGGACAAGAACGAGGCGACGAGGGGCAACCTGACGTACGAGCAGCACCCACTCAAGGCGAAGTCCCGGTACATTGTCCTGGGATGCAAGGACGAGCAGCTGCTCGCGGGCGAATTGCAGACCAACGCCCCCGCTCTGACGGACACGGCCACGGCGGTGATCCTGCAGGAGGCTGCCAGCCAGTCGGGCTGGAGGCTCGAACAGGGCGACGTCAACTCGGCATTTCTGAACGGGAAATACCTCGACAGCTCTCGACGCGAGTACTTCCGCGCGCCGAAGGGCGGCCTGCCGGCTGTGCCGGAGATGGGCTGGGCAGCCGTTCCAGGAGGGACGGTGCTGAGAGCGAAGAAGGGGATCTACGGGCTGAATGATGCACCTCTGTTGTGGTACGAGGAGCATCGCGACGCCATGCTGCCCCCCCAAGGGCGCCGAGATCAAAGTTGCGCCAGGCCCCCTTCATCTTCCACGACGAGAACGAGAAGCTGATCGGCGTGATCGGGACGCACGTGGACGACGATTTGGTAGCGGGCTCGCCCGAGTTCTTCGCTAACCAGGTGGCCAAGCCGAGGAAGATGCGCTGCCGCGGCAAGTGGCAGACGGCGAAGACCGGTCTCCATACCTGCGGGAGGTTCCTCAAGCAGAGCAACGATGGCACCGTCGCCTGTAGCCAGCGGGAGTGCACCGAGAGCATCGGGAAGGACGACGAGCAGAGCGCAGAGGGAGTGCGCCGAGAGCAGAGCTCCGATCTCAAACGAGCGTCGCAAGGACAAGGAAGCGAAGGCTACGCCCGAGGAGAGGGCGATGCTCCACAGCGGCAAAGGCCAGATCCAGTGGCTGGTGCGATCTGCCGGCATGGACTCGGCGTTTCGGCTGGTGGAGAGTCAGGCGAGAGCCCACGACAGCGACCTGGAGGTTCAGGACCTGCTGGACTTCAACAAGCTGGTGAGCGACGCCAAGACGGACCACGTGGACATCGCCTTCCAGAAGATCAGCATGGACGACGCAATCGTGGTGGCAGTTGGAGACTCTAGCCATGGCAACGTGGGCAAGACGAAGACCGCGAGTCAGGCGGGCCTGGTCATTCTGCTCGCAGACAACAAGGACGATCAGTTCCTTCGCGGGTGGCCGGCCAATATCACTCCCATGTTGTGGCGATCGCACCGCATCAAGCGGGTGGCGCGCAGCGCCGTGGCGGCCGAGACGACGGCGGCACTGGAGGCGGTCGAGAGTGGCGACATGCTGAGGCAGAACCTGGTGGAGCTGCACTACGGGCTAGGATACCAGACCCGCATGGACGACGTGAAGGCGATCAAGATGGTGGAAGTCACGGGCTGTAGGTCGCTCTACGACCTGCTCCAGAAGCGAGGGACGGTGCCCTCCGAGAAACGGCGGCTGATCGAGATCGAGTCGCTCAGGAACGATCTGGAGTTCAACAACGTGGTGAGCAAGTGGGTGAGCACGAAGCAGATGCTCGCCGACTGCCTAACCAAGCACGACGTCCGCGCTGGCGACTACATGAGGTACGTGCTCCAGACCGGTGAGTGCCGGCTGACGGAGGATCTCATGGCGGACCAGATCATAGCCAAGCAGAAGATGGAGCTTAAAGGACGCAGGGGTGAATACTACCGCTCGAAGTATCCCAAGAGGCCGCGACCTGCTGACCAGCTCTTTGTTCACGAGGGCTACACCTACTTCGAGGACTGCATTGCGGATGTGAGGTACACTGCGCGTGCGGCCCAGCCTGCTCCGATGCCCTACCTCTGTTGGCGGATGATGCTGGGGCAGCGCGAGGACGATGTCTACAACGAGAAGCTCGAGGGCAAGGTCGACTGGTCTGGCCTAGACCAGGTGACGAAGCGTCGGAGGATCCCGACCCACGTGCGGAAGCTGGTGACGATCTATGCACCGACCAAGGCGGTCCGCGAGCGCTACGAGAAGGACTTCACGGAGAAACGCACCATCAAGAAACCGAAGGTGACGGATGATGACGACCCCCAGGGGCTAGGTGCAACTGAGGAGCTTGGTGCGCACGTGGAGTCGGACGAGAATGTGAAAATGTATAGCACCGACGTCGCGGAGATCTACATGATGGACGCTGCGGGTGCCGAGTCTGAAGAGATCAAATCAGGCGCCGCTGCGGCTGCGACGGTGACGGTGTGCGCTTTGTGCCGGATGACGCTGGACCAGTGCGACTGCGGACCGAAGACCCGCAAGAAACCGCATCGGGCGTTTACCTCTGCGCGTTCCGACGATCTACCTGCTGTGCCTGAAGACGAAGATGATGACGAGGAAGCAGGGACATGGCAAAAGGTACCGACGAAAAAGGAGATTCTGAAGGCTCGCGCGCTACACGACAGGACCGGACATGCATCGTACGAGAAGATCGCGGACGAATCCGGCGACGTGATAGAAAACGGTGTTCTGCAGGCGTACGAGCTGGTGGTCAAGACCTGCGACGAGTGCAGTCGGGGAAAGAAGGCCCACGCCTCGATGCAGCGCGGAGCCAAGGGCAGTGAGTTCGAGACGTACGAGTCCACGAGCAAGGCCAAGGGCAAACTCAAGGGGAAGCAGTTTGCCTGAGATCGCTTAGGCGATTGCGAGCACAACGTGACGACGACACAGGGTAGCAACCAGTACAAGGATAAACTCAGGTGTCTGCAGTGCGGCATGCTGCTAGTGGATACGGACACGACGTGGTGGAAGCAAGAGAAGGATTATCGCGAGATCGAGAAGACCTTGCGCACGAGCAAAGAGAAGGCGATCAAAGCCGAGATGAAGGCCATTCGCCTCCGCGACATGTACGACAGGATGACGAAGGAGGCCGGTGAGTCAAGCAAAGGAGCGAGCTCGGCAGATACATGATGTAGTACTACGACGTAGACAACTACGACGCCATTTTGGCGATCAGCACGGGTGTTGCGCTGTTTGCAGCGACGCCTGCCTTTTCGCTGTTGGATTGGGAGCTGTGCCCAGCGCCCGCCTGCTGCGTGTCACGCTGAGTTAGATATAATAATATGAGTGTGATTTCTCGGGATTTCTGGAGGGCTTGCTCTGGAAATATAGGAACATACAGGTGACTAACATGCGTGTGTGCAGTGCTGGCGCTTGGGCTCGAGCTGACAAATGCGTGCTCCTCTCCCCCACAGCAGCAGCATCGGGGCAGCGGAGCAATAGGGATTTCGGCATACACGACGGAGTTCGGAGCTGAGACGAGCCTCGACGACAGGACGATCGACGAGGGCGAGGCTCAGCCAGAACGAGGATGCTCGACGTCTGGGGCGTGGGGGGATACACCTGCAAGGATCTGGCGCCTGGATCCTTATGCCCGTGGACGCACCGCCGGGACTTCGCCTCAAGTTCGGTGAAAATGCCTTCCACCGGCTTTCACCAGCGGACCATCCTACTTGAGATGATCCGCTCGGGTTGCTCCTTCCGCACGATTTCCGCCTGCTCGGGAGGCATGCCCTCGCCATCCCCGGATCCGCTCACGTTGGCCCATTCTTTGCGGTCAGAAGCATCGAATTTGGCCCGGTCCGTGCGTCCCAACGAACGCCCCCTTTGCCCTGTTCGTCCTGATCCAAGGTCCTGGCCTGGAGACAATGCCCGATCACCGTGTCCAGAACAAAAACAATATCCTCGCTATCCTCGCTTCTCTCCTCGCCCCTTCGCTCGTCGTGACCTCGGGGAGGGGACCTAGACCTTGGAGGTCTCCCTCCTTCCAACGCTCGCACCAACTCACCCACCGCTCGGCGAGGCCGGGTGCTCCGTGGGATCTCACCTCCAGGCGGCGCTGGTCCCTGTCTGGGGGGCGGCGACGGGGCAGAGGCAGGAGGCACGGAATCGGTGCGAGCTCTCTTGACTTCTGGAAGCTCGCTCTGAGCTCGAGCTCTCCGGATGCAAGCCGGAACGTCTGACGGCTGAAGGAGCCTCCTGGGTCTGAACCCCCCAGGTCTGACCTCGCTTCTCCTTTCCAACGGCGGCTCGGCGGCGGCGGGCGGCAGGAACAGGCTGGAAGGTGGGAGGAGGCTCCACCCTGGGGGGTTCTCCGGAGGGAGACGGTCCCTGAGAGGGTGAATCGATCGCTCCTCTGTCCGTCTCGACAGTGCTTCCCCTCACCTGAGTGGCTGTGCCCGAGCTGGGAGAGACGGGAGTGACCGATTCGCGCTCACCTTGGTCTCTTCTTCCTCCGTTGGTCGCGGAGGCGCGAGTGGCTTCAGAGCTGGCCTGGGCCTCCACCGAGTCCGCCACGGAGGGCGCCGCATCTGGCGGTCGCCCAGGCAGGAGTGCAGAGACTCGCGCTTGTGCAGAATCGGACCGAAAAGGCCAAAACAGATACCGAAGCGCATCGATCGGATCGAAACGGACCGTGGGTGGGGGTGGAGGCGCGATTTATCTCCCAAGAGCCCAGTGGAGGGGGGCCGTCCTTCTCCTCCTCGTTCATCACCGCCAAGGACGCGGGCTGTGCTCCTGGGTTGCGAAGGCACGCCCGCCGCGGGCGCCCCGCCGCAAGGGGCGTCGATCGTCGTCGTCGCAGCCGAAGAGGATCGGCGTCGTCTGAGCCAAGTTTCACCGATCCCCATCCCCACTGACATGACCTTGGTCTCACTGTCCGATTTACACCCCTTGACGGGGATGATGGCTGTTCCCTTCAGGTTTCGAGGGGCCTATCCCCAACTGGGCTGGCCCGAAATACTATGGCCTGGTGGGGATGGGCCAAATGATGCTGAGAATAGGCGTCGTCGCCGCCACTGGAGGTCTTCGCTGCTATTCTGGATCGGGGACGCGCTGACCAGGGTCAGCGCCAACCCAGGCCAGCCAAACAGCCGCTCAGGAACTGCCAGGCCCGAGCCAATGGATGGCGGAATAGAAAAAACGGCCCGTCATGGCTCCAGGGCCCAGGTCATTTACAGAGGTCCCAGATGATTGGATACCATATTTTGTCGGTCGCGATCGGTCGCGACCGATCGGCACTTCACATCGGTCACGACTGACCGCGACCGATGGCAACATCGACCAAGACCGATGCTAAAAATCTGCGCAACATCTGTAGCGGCTGCTCTCGTGGGTCGCGACCACAAACATATGCTGTTCAATGTTTAAGGGTTGGGTGACCCCGAAAACAAGCCCGTTTACGTAAGCCTCGATTGGGGACCCTTTTGAGTGTCCTGGGTCGTCGGGGCGCCCTTGCGGGCGGTGTTTGACAAGGCGGTCGTCGTCCTGGCCCTCGTCGCTGTCGTCCTCGTATTGGTCGTCGTGTCCGTCGTCAGTCGTCTACGATAAGTATTCGTCGTCGACGCCGCAGCCGCCGTGAAGGAGAATGATGAGGAGCGGGCCGAGGGCGAACAAGCGAGAAGCAAAGAGGATGACGAGTAAGAGGAGGACAAGGCGAAGATAACGAGGGCGAGGGGGACGAGTGCGAGATGAACGATGGTGGGGAGGGAGAAGGGAGAACGTGAACGAAAGATGAAGGGGAACCCAGACCAGTCCGTGCGGTGGCGGCCGCTTTTTCCACGGGATTCTCATCCGAGTAAACGACCTGTCTCTGGAAAAGGTTAGAAAAAAAGGCCCGCGGGAACCATACTAGATGACAAATCACAATGAAGGGGCCGAGCAGTCATTCATTGAAGTGTGATTCCGTTCCGCGGATTATTGTTGTTGTCGAAGTGCGCTGTTGAGTTCTCACTCCCAACAAATGATTATTGTTGACCCCCTCCACCTCACCGTGGTGTTTTCAACTCGCATGCCCCCCCAGCGCCCGCACTTTTTTTCAACAAAAAATCAATCATGAAAGCTCTGGGCCTCCAATGTGGGTCCCTGGCCCCCCGTTTACAACAACGGCCAGCACTTGATACTTCCTCGCGATGCATTCAACATCGCGCTCTCGCGCGGGACGTTTTCATAACTTATGCATGAATCGCGCTTTCGCGCAGGATTGCCTCGTGATTCGTTGAAGCGCCGCGCCCTCGACACCAAGGAATCACGCTCTCGCTCTGGTCGGCCCGTCTGCTTGACCCGGCGGTCTGGGATCGCCCGCCCGCCCCGCCCGTTAGGGTCCGTGCGCCAGATCCGCCCGTTTGGCTTTTCGCGCGATTTGTTGTTACTGACCCTCCCTCCTGCTGATCACTTTCGTGCTACATCTGGCTCCCTCCCCGTTGTCCTTTTCCTCCTGCCTCCCTTCGCCTGTCCTCGGAGCTGCGCCAATCACACTTGGCGGGGAAGGAAGCCATGACCCCATGGGGAGTACGATCGAGAGCGAAGAAGGCGGGCGTCGAGGGTTCGGAAACATAGAGTTGCAAGCTGGAAGCGAAGAACGAACAATAAATAAATGGCTGTTGTGGTTGACCGTCGCCGGAACGACTCGGAAGGCCCCGCCGACGCACGCATCAAAGCTTGCCGTCGCGCTCGGCCAAGTCCCCTTCGGCCACCTTCTGGCGATCGAACGCGCGCACCGGCAGCTTCGAAAAGCAGCCATTGCTTCTGGCCTCTCTCGGCTGTCATCGGTTTGCCCAGGGGGCCAGAGACGTCGAAAAACGGGATCGGGCGATTGATCGCCCTGTCGCGCTCTGCCTCGCTGCCTCGCCCAAAGCGCGGCACCTATCGGGCGGGCAGAAAGTGCGGCAGCTGCCCGTGAACTTGCCCTGGTAGAAGCGCCGGTCCTCGCGAGCGCCAACGACCCTGAGCATGTCTTCGGTGGCCTTCCCCTCCGAGATCGCGGGCGCGTGCGTGGCGGGCTTCTTGCAGGCCCAGTCACCGCTGGAGCCGACGGCGCCCGCGACTGCGCCGAGCTCGATTTCCCATGGTCCGTCCGTCCAGTTTGTTCTCTCCCCCTCTCGCGGCGTTGATGGAAGGCGCCGCCTGGGCCGTCTTTGGGGGCGTCAGGGCGCCCTCCTGCCCAGGGACCCCTGTGGCAGAAGTAGATCATCTCCGCCTGAACCTCGGGGCTGTGCTTATGGGACTGCTCGATCTGCGTCGCCCCCTCGTCGCCGGCCATCTCCGCGCCGCCGTTCGCGCGACGGGGGGGCGCGAACGCGAGGGGTTCTCTTCCAACCGCGCGCGGCCCGCCTGCTCCCGAGCGCGGGGCGGCCGCCGCGCCCGACGCGCCCTGCGCCCCGCAGCGACCGCCCCGCGCGTTCCAACGCCAGCGGGGCCGCCGCCACGAAGGGGCGCGCGGGGCCCCGCGCCGCGGATGCCAGCGCCAAAGCAGCGCCGCACGAGCCACGCGGCCAGCTGGCGCCGCCTTGCGCCGTCGCCTCGCGGCGGCCTGCTGCCCCAAGCTGCCCGGCAACGGCAACCGCGCAACGGCGGCAATCCGCCCTGAGCCGCCGCCTGGGGCTGGAGCGAAAGCTCACGTCTCTGAGAGCGCCCTCGGAGTCTTTCCGCGCGCTAGGTGGGCCCTTTTATGGGGGCCCCGTCGATGCTGGCGTCGACGGCGTCTGCGACTGCGCCGAGCTCCTTGTCCAGCAGGCCGCCCAGTCTGATATCTCCCCTCTGCTGGCGCTGATGACGGACGCCAGCGCGGCCGACCTCAGGGGAGCCAGGGTGCCATGCTGCTCCGGGGCCCCGTGGCCGAAGTTCACCAA